TATATATATATATATATATATATATATAATATTAATAGGCCTGTGTGTGTATCCCTTATTCTGTCCCTTATTTTTCTATGAAAAACCACAATTGTCCCGTATTTTCCTTTTCTGAAGTTGGCAACCCTAATTGCCAGTGATTATGCAAACTTACAAAGGAAAAGTGCCTCATATCTGAGACTTCAATGCATGTGTGGTGACAAAAGTGCACACAAGGTGTTCAGTCTTGTCATAAACACAGGTTATGGTTTAGACAGGACTGTTATCTGCCCACTCATAACAGTCATGCCTAACACAACATGACAGCCAATCTGACATCAGACACACTCTGTCACATGCAAGTTCCTGTTTCCCCAACATGTGCACTATTGTGGAGCGGTCAGTGACAGCGTTTAGCACAATGTCCAAACATTTCATGACAGGGATGTCGAGAGGCATTAAGAACCCTTTTAGCATGATAACAAATAATAAGAAGAGCTCAAAGCGAAACGGGGCATTAGCATCAACCAATAGCCTACATAATTCACAGAACACATCAGTTCATAGACTTATTGAAGGATTTTGCATTAGTATTAGGCCTACTTTATTATGATTGTTTTAAAATGGCTTCACTTCAAGTATACTGTATTTTCCACCTGTGTCCTGCAATAGGGTGTCTGGAATGACTTAATAACATGCTACTTCTAGATGCATTGTAGTATACACTGCAGTATATAGCCTACTTTATGTGAAGTATGCAGTAACTATGTTAGCATTTGGCTTCATACTTTCTTATCAATGACTAGTTTGGAAGGAAATTATTCTTATTGCAGACAATGCAAGCTATTCTGCATACTATTTGTTAAAGATAATGGAAGCAGTATGCTTTAGATTTGACAATACTGGTTTATAAATGCAAAATAATTTCTTATTTACAAAATGATTCTCATTTACTTAATACCTCAGAAATAATACAATTATGTCAGTATGTCTTTTTAAACATAGCATATGTGTGTTTGGAATGATAGCCTGTAGGCTACTATTAAAGTACGCCTACCGTGATTTGCAGTCTATACTGTTTATTTGCAGTATGCAGTAACTGCATTAGGATTCCATTTTGATTCAACAATCCTCTGTTTCCATTGGCTATGTTTGGAATTCAATACTACTTCACTGTTTAATGCATACACTGTATACTGCATACTAGTTGCTAAACATTATAACTGAAGCATTATGCATTGCATTTGCCAATATTGGCTTTAAAATGTAAAATAAACAGAATGATAAAAGTATGTCAGTTTGCTCTTCTGATCATATTCAATGTGTATGGAATATCATACTACACTACCCCCTACTAAGTATGCACTGAAGTACACTTTATGTGCAAAATAATTTCTTATTTACAAAATGATTCTCATTTACTTAATACCTCAGAAATAATACAATTATGTCAGTATGTCTTTTTAAACATAGCATATGTGTGTTTGGAATGATAGCCTGTAGGCTACTATTAAAGTACGCCTACCGTGATTTGCAGTCTATACTGTTTATTTGCAGTATGCAGTAACTGCATTAGGATTCCATTTTGATTCAACAATCCTCTGTTTCCATTGGCTATGTTTGGAATTCAATACTACTTCACTGTTTAATGCATACACTGTATACTGCATACTAGTTGCTAAACATTATAACTGAAGCATTATGCATTGCATTTACCAATATTGGCTTTAAAATGTAAAATAAACAGAATGATAAAAGTATGTCAGTTTGCTCTTCTGATCATATCCAATGTGTATGGAATATCATACTACACTACCCCCTACTAAGTATGCACTGAAGTATACTTTATGTGTAGTATGCAGTAGACAAAGTTGGCATTCCATTTTGTTATAATGCCCGTCTGGTTTCATTGGCATTTGTAATGGAATAGGCTACTACTTCGCCATTTAATGTGTGAATTTTGTTAGTGTACAAAACGTTGCGTCAGATAACTGTGTATCAAATTAACTGGTTTTATTCAAGTCAAATTATTACTGAATCAACACGGTTACACCATCAAATTAAAAAGAGTCGACAGGCAGAAGTAGATAGTGAACGTAACAACTTCACATTAATTTTCACTGATTGCGCCATAGTGACCGACGCGCGCACAAACCAGGAACGTGCTGCAGGAACGTTAACGCAGCACGTATTAATAGAGGCCGATTTGGATGTCTGCATGCTCCATTTTTAGGTGAGGCTCCTCACAGCTTCATCCTATTTGACCTTGAGGGTTGATAATAGTTCCTCGTGGTTTATAAGGCCAGCACTAATTCCGAGTATGGGTCACCATACTTGGCCACATGTCACGTCACTTTCACTTTTTTATATATCACTAGAGATCGCTAGGAGAATTTTTCCTAATATAAAGACCTAATAGGCTATATATTTAAAATAATAAATTAGTCATGTTACGATTCTGAAGCTAAAACCTAAAGATAAATAGACATGAAATGTGTGTTCTACACTGTGAGCTCGCTAGATAAGATACAGAGGTACACATTTTGAGATGGTCCTGGATGCCATAGCCTACTCCTCAAGGTCATTATTAGCGTGACTGTCTGTGTTCTAACATATGTACCAACATCTGTTATAGGAGGGCATTTAGGTTTCCTGCAATATTTATTTGTATTCCCATCATGCACTGCTTTGCCCTTTCTGCAAGGATTCTTGTAAGGGGAAAAAATTTGACTATTTACTGTAGGCTAATGTTAGTGCTTTGTGGTCTTTTTCAGTGACCCCCTACAGCATGGCCATTTTTTACCATCTGCTCTTCAAAGACAAGTGTACTTCAGACGCTTGAATGGTTGAATACTATTCTCAAATAAAAACTGAAAAATAAAATATACAAATAAAAAATGAATAAGAAGAAATTTGTTTGTTTGTGAATGACATTTCTAAGTAATGAATAAATTCTGTCCCTGAAAAATAATTATCTTTTTGGTCATACATCAGCATGACTACATGCATTGAGTTTTTAATGAATGCTTTCTGCATGGATATTGATGCAGACTGCCTATAGTGCCTTTCTATCCTCTCTAAGGAACGATTACTGTTATTAAGTACTTTGGTCTTACAAAAAAAGTTATTTTCTCCCTGTCAGAATGTGTCTCTCTATCTCAGTGTCAGTGGATCAAACTTTCTTGACCCTAGATCCTGTGTGCATCATATATACATACAGTGCCAACAACTGTGTGCTATATTGTCTAGTTTATATATTATACACACACTTTCTCTATATACTGAGGAGGGTAAAATAGTCATTTTTACTTGGCAGAGACAGCACAATTATATTTACACACAAAAAAAATCAATAATGATATATAGGTGAGAAAGTACACGAATACAGCATGATTTTACACGTTGTTGTGTGTGCAAGTACATGTTGCATTATCAGCAAACAGCTAAAAGTCTGTGGATTATAATATATACTGTGGGGGGGGGGGGTTTAAACAATGGAAGCAAATGGTTACCAACATTCTTCAAAAGAAAAAAAAAAAAACTGGACATGAGGTTTTGGGTTTAAGTTCTGATTTTTGTAATTCAAATAACACTAACCAAATAAAGACACAGAGGAGCAATTTCATATCCATTAATATTTTACTAAAAAATGATCAAAATAAATATTTACAATTTTAACATATTAACCTAGTAAGGACACCACTTTCATCACAGCATTAGAAACCATGGGGAAAAAACCTAATGCCACTCTCCAAACACACTGATCTTCAATATGCATCAGGATCATTGTGTGCGCGTGTGTGTTTTTGAGACAGAATGAGAGAAGGCAGAGAGGATAGAGAGCAAAAAATACAATGAGAGACAAACATATTGTGTGCTTGAGTAAAAGTGCGTGTGTATTTAACAAGACGAGGGGTCGTCGGAACAGGAGGGACCATAAATTGCACTTTCCGATCAAATGCAAGTTAAACAGAACTGGGCAGAGTAAGACTGATCAGTATGGTGTCCTGAAGCTTTGAAATTGTCCACGTACTGTACTTTTGTCCAGATGTCCATTGCTACAGTTTTCTGGAGAACATGCTGAAGGCCTGAATGAGGTTACACAGTGTTTTTCATTAAAAAAAGGCCAAAGCTGGACTCTGACCATGGCTCTCACGATACAAACAGTGTCTTCAGAGGCGGTCGGTGTTCTGAACACTTTTTCTATTCTATTTCTATACACGTTTGCGCAGTTAAGTTAGATTTGTTTCTCATCCGATTGGATTTCATTATATCATTCATAAAGACGTCTGCTCTAAAATGAATGGACAAACATTTAAATACTTCTCAATATTCTCACTTTTTTTTCAGTAGTCACATAAATCAAAAATAAAATACGCTTCTGTGGAAAAAATAAAACAGTCTAGAGGGTACCATGGTCTACGACTGCACAGTGATTATGCAGGGCATGGCTTGGGAAAGAGCAGTGGCTGAGATGCACTGAGGGTGTGTGCCACATTCCCGAGAATCATGGGCGCATAGGTCCAGTGACTGATAACTGATAACATGCCCATGTTATTAAATCCATAGAAGTTCCTGTACATCTACATATATCAAATCTTTTCCATGTGTGTTTTTTTTTAATCGTTGTCTAATCATTATTGCGATGAATCCAGGGAGAATGGGAGTCAGCAGCATGTACTTAAAAAGCCAGAGCATCATTATTTGAATGAATGCACATTATCAGCAAGCACATACAAAACACCAGATTATGACACAGTTCAGCAATGAAGCGTCTTAAATGCATCTGGCACAGTCCTTCGGAGCCAAAGATTACTTGAAATTCACAACTAGGGGTTTTTTAAGACTATGCCTAGGGTGAAATGATCATCTCAAGCTTGGTTTGACTATTCCTCTTTAGGTTACCGCACTGGCGTGTGATTACAAACGTGTGCAGTCCAGGTATCTCGATCTTCAGCATGCGCAAAGACTTCTATCAGGCATCGATGCTTTGACAGCATCTTAAAGGGTGACAGTTAGTAAGTAATTACAGGAGATGCTTTCTCTCAAATGGTTCGCTAGCTCCACACTGCGTCAAGGTTTTAACTTCTCACCGTGTTCTAGCTTATCTCCACATGTGGCGTGTTTCTCGCTTCACAAAAGTCGGGCTTGCTTGGGTTGTCATGCAAAGAGAAATCAATGGTATGCTCGGTTAATTAATAAATTTAGGATACCTTCAAAAGCCCAGTCACTTCCATTCCTCTCAGGTACTAGGTATGTTACTAAAAACAGAGATGCAACTAAGAAGACATTTAGTGTGGAGAAGCAGGGCATGCTGGAACTATCCTGCTTGGTGCACATCTGAAATCTCCCTACAGATGAGCATGCGCTAGATACTGGTGACTTTCTGCCTCACTGAGCATTAGACAACAGTGATGGTCCCAGACTTGTGGAGACTGACCTTACTTCCCGAGTCCTTGGGTCCACACTCGCCCTTATCGTACCACCATTTGTTTTTCAGCTTGTCTAAGACGCCTGATTCACTCAGTTTCAAAACGGCAAGGTTTACGGGGGTTCTTCAACCGCGCAGAGGAATGTAACACAAATAACATAAATAACATCATAGGACATGTTATTTTATGTTATTCACTCATAACAGCTGACACAGCAGTTGCACTGGCAAAGTGACTGAGCCGAGGGTCCCGTTGTGATACATATCTCTGTGCTCTATTTAAGGGAACAATGTTTTAGGGCCTGGCACTGGAGCCACAGACATATGAACGGGACCTTGCTCCATCGCTTTGGGTAACGGGCGCATACTGCCACGGCCTGCTTCTCTACCAATGCTGGAGGCAATTACTGTTAAACCACAATTATTGGCATATACCATAGGCACCAACCTTTTCATATCCCTCTAACCAAGGTCATTACAGTTATGAATTTTTAGTTTCAATTTAATTTCATTTATATTACAACTCTAATCCATTTTAGTTGTTACATTTATGCTTTTGGCAGATGCTTTTATGCAAACGTTGCTGGAATGCATGACAGATATGTTGTGATAGAAGTTGTCTGTTGTACGTGGCACGTATTTGATTCTCTCAAATTACTTCACATCAGCAACTGCATGCAATGCAAGAAGTAGGTATTGACCCTCAAATTTATTAACATATTTACTGACATATTGCTCGAGACTTACTGATATGAACTTTATTTGGAGTACTACTTGTGCACAATTCACATTTCTTAATATTAAGCCTAAAATGTGTTTTAATGTAGCTATTGATGAGGACTGTATGCCTTTGAATACTATCTTCAAATGCAAGATATTTAAAGTGTACCTAAAGTATACGTGCAATAGGTCCACAATCAAATATACTTCAGCATCCGGCAGATGCTCCCGTTACAGAGGAAACTGTTTACCCGCGTTGGTTGACATAGTGGCTAACCTTCTCACCACCTCCTCCGCTGCCACACTCTCCTTTGTCGTACCACCACTTGTTTTTCAATTTGTCCAACAGGCCTTGTTCATTCAGTTTTAAAACTGCCAGGTTAACTGCACTTCTTGAAACGATAAAACATAGTTTGTCAGTAGCAGCAGTTTGTCATAGTTGAGCAGAATCCAATCAGGTTAAATTAAGAAAGAAAGGGGTGGAAATTTCTATAGATTAGTTGCCCGTTCCCACCCCACTTCCCCTTAGAAAACACTAAAACACCGAACCACAGAGGACAAACCTCTCTTTTCCTGTTTTCATGTTAATTTACACCAGCCTTATTTGTCTACCCATACTACACACCTCCAGATGGGGGAATGGAAAAATCAATACCTGCTCTCCGCTTTAAACCCCCTCTCCAACCCAAGCTACCCTTATTTCCCATCATCACTCGACCGCTTTACTATGCACTCAATATTGCTGAGATGCACAGAGGGACCTCACGATATTGAATGCCTGTTTCTTTCCCTATATGCTGCTTACAGACGGTTTAAATGAGCACTGAGGGTTTAAGTCTCTGAAAGTGCTGAATGAGTTTGATCCTATTCCCCAGACCCCTGCATTCCCACCTCTGGCTCAGCCACAAGAGAGCTCGCAACACAATTCTGCTCCGAAACACCAGACAGTATCTTTCCCTGCAGTTCTCATCAATGCTTATCATTCTGTAGATAATGTTCTATAAATATAAGCATATCATATAAATTACTGTTATTTTACGTACTTGCTATGACACAAACAATGGGGTCCAAAAGTCTAAAAGACTACTATGACTACTATGAATAATGCTTCTATTTTTGAAATTTTCACTGTAAATCAGCATGGTCTTTGTAAAATATTGAATTAAAGGGGTCCTATTATGCTTTTTCACTTTTTGAATTTTAGTCCGTGTGTAGTGCGTATGTTTGGGCATAAAAAAGATCTACAGAGTTACAAATCTCAAAGTCCACTCCAAAGGGAGATATTTCGTTTTAAAAAAATCCCTTTTCAAGAACTACAACGAATGGCTTGTTTGGACTACAGCATTGTTTTCCGGGTTTTTGTGATGTCACAAAGCGGCTCATTAGAATATCATTAAAATAATTCCCACCTATGGAAATTCGAATGGTTGGGGGCTGGGGAGGGGCGAGGTCGTGTTTAGAACAGCTTGGTTGCATGCATCAGACAAGACGACGACGAAGAAGAAGTGCTTCATGTTTTGTAATACGTAAAGTAATTCATAAATAACTATTAAAATTGACAGCAATGCATATTTACAGTACCTTTTGTATTTCTGAATTAAATAACAAATAATGTTTGCTAACGGTTGCCTGTTACAGTACATAAAATTTCACTTACCACATAAACAGAGTAAGTAGGAGAGATGACTGTGGACGATGGCAAATGATGTGTAGATTCTGAGCACCACTGATAAAACATCTAATCTTGTAAAATGTGTGGTAAGTACTGCTGCTCCATAGTATAAACAGAGTATGTGCGATCGCGAATCTCGAAAGTGAAAGTGAAACTAAAAAGCGATCGTGCACTCAAAAGCAGTTTCAATGCCAGGCATAATAGCGGCTCCCCGATGCCCGCAATTTATATAGTTCTACAGTATAATTACCCAATGATATAACTGCGAGAGAAAGTATTGAAATATATATTTTCCTCCCATCTCGTGTTTATTCCGTTTAGGGGTTCGGGTTCCGTATACACGTCATTTTCTTTCCGAAAACGGTATTGGGATGTGGTGGATTGGGAGGGGGGGGATCACGATGCCGGCTCAACATCGTGATGTCTTACAGCCTTCGGCGATGGACGATGCCATCGTCTATCGGCCCAACCCTAGTCACCACTCTAAAATGTCTTGCAATATCCGTGCGTGCAAAGGTTCTGCGCGATCCTCTTGTTCAATATTCTCGGGGTCTGAAACCAGCTCAAATTGATATGGCAATATTGACGCCATCCTTAACTATACCGGAGCAGATGGAACTTGCTGCTTTGGCAAGGGGCGGGGCAGTACTGAAACACAGTCTAAGCTGTTCGCCAATCACAATGCACTGGGACAGCTAACCAATCACAACACATTTAGTTTTTCGGAAGGTGGGCCTTCATCAAACCCGGAACATATCGAGCCATTTGTGCCAGGCTGGGGAGAAAGGTATTGTAATAATGTAAATTATGTGGAAAAATAATGCGATTTTCGAACCACCAAGCATGAAAGCATGTTCTAGTAGGCCTACACCCCCAAAACAAAATCAAGACTTTGTAAAAGAGCATAATAGGACCCCTTTAAAACATAAACATTCAAGTCTTATGTCTTAGTACATGCACATGCAGGGCTGTCCTTAGGGGGGTGCAACTGGTGCGGTCGCACCGGGCTCCGCGGCGAACGGACCGAGGGGGAAATATAAATAAATAAATATAAATAAATGTGAGCTAGATTTTAAAATATTTACAAAATTTATAAATTTAGTCAAATTAATTTAAATAAATGAATAAAGACATAAATAAATATTTAATAACAATACTTTTCAAAATCATAATAAATTATGTTCAATTACAATCAATCAATCAATAGATGTGAACTAGAATTTATAATATTTTTACAAAATAAATGTAGTATAATTAATTTAAATGAATAAATTTATACATTTAAATTTAGTAATTATAATAATAATGCATTTGTTTTTATTATAAACCTCCTAAAATGTTATATTTTCAAAGATAGATAGATAGATAGATAGATAAATAGATAGATAGATAAAATAAGTAATAATTTCAAAATCGTAAAAGTTTATACTTCAATAATTTACATTTATTACTTTTGGACTCCACTGTAAATGTCTAATCTTACAAATCTATGATCTAGTTAAGGGTCAAAATGTACATGATGGGAATCATTCAAGAGAGGTTTATCCTGAATGCAGTTTATCCTGAATGCAACATTAATAAACACACAGCCCACAGGAACAAAGAACGGGACAGGGAAAGAATGTAGTGAGAAACATCTGAGCTGAGGAGGGGAAGAGAAAGAAGAGCATTAAGGGCAGTGTGCTGCAGATCTGAAGCCGAGTGAATCTCCTGCGCTGGTCTGACATCACGACAGCAGGAGAAAAGCCGTTACGCCATTGGACGCTCTTCTCCCCGGTATCATGAGAAGGGTCAGACAGACCGCGGTAACTCCGCAACAAAATGGCTGATCCCGGGAGCTACCGTCATCTGTAACTGACTCTTCTCAACCTTTCTTACCACGCTTCATGGTACTTGTAGTGCGTTTAAATGTGCGTACCTCTCAGTATCAGACCAGGCAGAATATTCACAGGCTTGTCCATTCGTTCAAATTCATGTTCATTGTTAAACATCCAGACATTTCATCTAAAAAATTCAGTGTCATTAACATGCATGCATCAGTTTGAAATGACCTGCTTCAGGCTTCATTAAAAAACAAACAAACAAAACGAGAGAAAGAAAACATAGCACTACGTATACAAGACCTTTAACTGCCCACAAGAACACATGAGAAAAGCAAAAAGAAAGAAGAGAAAACTAGAAATAGGCACGCCAGGGAAGGTGGAATACCATAACAACATGTGACATATTGTTATACTACTCCACCCACCTTAACTGTGAGCCCTTAGGCGTCGCCACCCCGTAGCCTTTGGAGTCCAGGTTTCCTCCCACTTTCATGGTGTCGCAGGGTTTGCGCTGCTCCGTGTACTCGTTCATTGTGGACTCCAGCAGGAAGGCGTACTTCCCTTTGGATTTTCTCACTCGTGCCACTCCCTCTGCCGTGGTCTTAGTGAACACCGTGGGCTCGGCAGACTTCATGTAGCTCCACATTTTCTCATAAACGGCGATCTTTGACCTCTGGAAGTAGGGGTAGAGGTGTAGAATGGCAGTGAAGTGTGCAGAGCAAGTGTGGAGGGTGCAGATTATTTGTTTTTCGCTGAATTATTAGTTATTACAGTTACAGTTATTACAGATATGACAGTTTAGAGGTTCTCAGCCTTGGGGTTGAGACCATAGACTGTATAAAAGATGGACGACGCATCTCCACTTCCTTCCACAATAGAAAAGTGAAGCCAAAACATTCTCAGTATGGCCGCTGTCATCTTGCGAAAATGACGTCATTTGGAGTCTGCGCAGTAGTGATCGTGAGGTGGAACCGCGGAATCAAAGTCTCGTCCAAACTCCCGCAGACCCAAACGCAAGCTCACAATCATGACACCACACCCCATTTTTACAGTATAGCATCAAATAATTAATTAACAGCAAACTTATTAGAAAAATGAACACTTGAACATACATCAGCATGCTAAGAACTACCTAAAATGACAGAAAATGTATTTGGAAAAAATGTATTTGACGTGTAATTTGATTTTTTAGTTTGTCTCACATCCCATTAGATTACATGGAGATGGTGGGGTTTATGACCTATACTGCATCCAGTCACCTGGGGGCGATCGAAACATTCTGGCTTCACTTTTCAAGACTTGTGCAGCGCACTTGAGTGGGCCCCGTGGCAAACGGACTGAGGGGGCCTAGCCCCCAGCCCCAGAATGCGATCACGAACGGACCGAGGGGGGGCT